TTCCTGAAGTACATGCCTGATATTCTTTTGAAACCTTGGATCCAAATGGTAATAATGACAGATTTACGCTATCACATTTGTGCAGTAGATTGATTGTTCAACTGAAGAAAGGGATGCGAAAAAGCCCTTTGTTCTGTTGGCAAACAGGGAGGGGGCTTTTTCACAGTTTACAAAAAAGACATTCTTTTTTTCATGATTCTTTTTTTTTTTTTTTCGCGGTTTGCAAAAAAGGCGTTCTTTTTGTCAAGATTATTATTTTTTTCTTCTTCCCATTCCTTTGTACACAGTTTTTCTTCGCAGTACTTTAGTTCATTTTCAAGGTTCAATTCTCATCTAAGTTGCTTCAAGCAAAGACCCTATGGCAAAGATGTCCCGCGAAGCATGATGTCATCAAGTGATTTATTGATTTTTCAATATTGTCAAACAACGGCTCACGGACAAGACTCGAGCGATAGTCGAGGAAGGAGAGGCAGTGACAAACGGCCAGGTACACGGCGTAGCTGTTCACCAGCGTCAAGTCGAGCAGGTAGAAGAGGAGCTTCTTGTACCACTTGAGGGACTTACGAGTAGCTCGGTGATTGGCCGCTAGTTGGTTGCTCTTGTCAACGCCCCCCATCAATGTATTCAATGACGTGGGTCGGTTTCTGTCCTGCTTACCGGAGTCATGGATGTCTGCCGTATGCATGGTGGAGAGCATACGGATGTTGCGCTTGTCTCACCACACCATGGCCAGGAGAGAACTGCTGATGCCCAGGTCGGCCGACTGGAATGCTGTTTCACTTTGCTTCAGCTTGACGGACTGCAGGTCTTTCAGCATCCCTTCTCTGTTTGCCATAACGGTGCAGATGACGTTGAACTTCTGGTTGTGAAGTTGTCGAAACAAATTGGGACTGCTGAAGGCTCAGACAAGGGCAAGGTTGTAGTCCTTGCCGTTTAGGTCGCTCACCAGGTCCATCACCACTTGTGTAGTTGCTGGGAGGTCTCCTTTACTTTGGCCGGTGTAGATTTTGAAGTTGTAGCAGTACCCGGCGGCACTCCCGGTGCTCTGGCACAACTTGTACATCTTGATGCCAAAGCGGGCCCTCTTTCTGGGGTTGTAGGTAGCGAAGTGGAGATGCCCGTAGAACTTCATCAGGGAGTCGTCGGCGGAAATGTCCTGTCAAGGAACATAGACAGTGGCAAACTTCTCAGCAAGATGGTCGACGACTGGGCGCACTTTGAAGAGGGGGTCAGTGCAGTCCTCCGGCATGGCAGTGTTATTGTTGAAGTGCAGGGACTGCAGGATGGCAAGGAAGCAATCTGGGGGCATGACGGATGGGAATAGGCTCATCTTCAGTGGGTTGGTGGACCAGAAGCTATGAAGGGTGGGGTTCTTCGCAATTCCCGTCATTATGCAAAGGTCCAGTAAGGCCTTCAGTTCTCTAGTGTTCAGATCAGTCCATGATCGCATGTGCGCCGATGTCGTAGCGGGCCTCTGCACGGCATACCGGTTGATCTCTTGCACTATCTAGAGAACGTCGTCAAAAAACATCTCATAGGCTTCACCACAGGTTGAGCTGTGAAGCAGGTGGGGTTCGACGACACCACCATTACCGTTGAAGCTGTATTTAAGTGGTGTACTGTCTTCATCTGTCCACCGGAACGGTGTGGCACTGCTGCTGGTCGATGCGGCGGTCTGTGTACGGGACTGTCTGTTGCGCTTGGCATATACCGCCAAGGGTACATTACTGTCAATTTCTGTACTTGACTGTACTTGAGCAGGTGACGGTGGTGATGAAGAAGACGAAGAATCTTCGTCTGAACTCAGATAAAACTCACTTTCATTGGAAGAACCGGACCCTCCGGATATAACTTCAGCCATGTTGTCTGTGCTCTGATAACACGATACCCAATATGTACACATGTAGCCACTGCACGGCGATTTTATTCTCAAGCAGCAAGAGGGCCGAGCCCTGTCAGTCAACGTGGCAAAGGCCAGCAGCGCCCGGGCCAGGTCATTCATGGGGCACAGGTGCATAATGAGCCCGCACAGCCCGCGCTTTGTCTTCGGTGCAGTGCAGCGATAATCCGCTACGAGCGCCCAGCAGCGCGAACAATAGCGTTCTGCACAAACAATACACGGATTACCTCCGCTAATGTCAGAGCTCTGCGCTGAAAGAATACGGGGATTGATTGGCAGTGCCCGGCAGCTCTCAGCAACTCCTAATTTTATTACAGGCTTTTATAAGTTTGGTCACCCCGGCTATAAAATAAAGTCCCAATTCTCCGGCCCCAGCTACCCATTTTTGCCTCAGACCAATTTATTTACCTCCAATGATGGCCTAAACTGTTTAACTGACAGCAATAAACTTTTTAAAAACACCCAGCAATTTTTTTTTTTAGTAAAGTTCCGATTTCGGAAACCCTGGCCACGAATATAAGGCCCATGCCTCCGGTACTGGAGCCCCCAGCTGCAAGTGGTTTAAAATATAAATTGCCAACTCGAAAATCTCATTTCGCATGCTGTGCATATGCTACTCTGTGTGTGTGTGGCTTTGTTTCTACATTCAATTGGAGACCCTGAACAATAGCGGACAATAAGGTCCCCGATTGACTGAGGGTCCCCGATTGAGTACAAAACATATAGGTGGTCTTCTAAAAAAGTTGAAGTACAAACAAAAGAGGAACAATAGGGGGTCCCCAGTTGCAGGCAAATACACACTTGGGAGTGTGGACGCCCGATATCTGCCTGCAACATAGACGGCGCACAGTGCGTAGGGCATTAGACTCGAGACTTGGCAAAATGCCGACCACATGCTGCCGAGAGCAGATTACATTGTATGGAACTCTAAAAGGGACAAATGTTTAAGATATCTAATCTCTGCCTTTTCTGCGAAAAGTATAATGTTTTGTATTGTATATTGTATTGTACATGTCTTATTGGGTTGAAACGTTGCAGGTAGTTAGGAAGGAAAGGTTTACAAATGAAAATTGACCTCAGGTGATGACAATGCCATAAGCAGACGAGTCACGTGACATTAAAGGTGCACCATTTAAATTACTATATCTCCTAAAGTGTATATCCAATTTGGTTCAAATCTTGCAGATATCTTGAAAAGGGAGTGCTTTAGAGGAATTTTGACCTTGTATGATGATGATGTCATCAGGAGACAAGTCACATGACATTCAAGGTGCACTCCTTAAGGCCCCATATCTCCTGAAGTGCTTGTCTGATCAAGTTCAAATCTTGCAGATTATATTGAAAAGGGTGAACTTTAGAGGAATATTGATCTCATGTGATGATGACGTCATCAGGAGACAAGTCACGTGACATTAAAGGTGCACGCTTTAAGGCTTTAATTTTTTGAGGCACAATTTTGGCAACTTGGTGATCCCCAATCGTCATCAAAGTTTCAGCTGGCACATACCCTGCTGCGAGATACATATACATTTAAGTGAACAGAACTTTCAGTTTACAATGTGTGTTTGGTCATGAAAGGACCAGAACCTGTTTGCTGTTCTTTTAAAGTTTGTACTGCTATTGCCTTCAGTAATCTGGTCCTGATGTGATTGGATAAATTGGGCAAACACATTTTGGTAGCAAATGGTACAAACGTACCTCCAAGTATTAAACTTTGTCTATTTTGATGCATCAGTTATTGTTCACATATTAAAATGATAAAACAATGACGGTAAGTTTCACATATATCTGACGTCTTTCTAATTATAGTTCTTTCCTTTTTGTCCCGTGTACTGCATCAAATCCAAACTCCTTTCTTGTTCAGCAAGGAGAGACTTACATAGGAATTAGTCCAAATTTCTTTCTGTGCTTTTTTATTTTTTAAATATTTGCTTTTGTATAAAGTGTTCAATACATGTAGACATATCTGCATGCTACTTCACTGCCATGCTTGTCCATTGTTTTTTTGTTCTGTTGTTAAAAGCACACAGTGAAACATTTATTATTTGTCTTGGTTGCATATTTCAAACTTAATTGTAATCAGCTTACCAAAATAAACTTTATTAGCAGTGCTTTGATATCATTATATATGTTACAACCCTTCCTTTATTGGGCCTTTATAATCTTGATATTGTGCGATTGGAAATCAGTCCATAAATTTGATTTCCACCTTTTTTCGGTTACTGAATGTGTAATTGTCTGTTCTCAAACAGTGTCTTACACATCTGTAAAAGACCAGTACCAATAGTTATGTTGTATATAGAGAAGTTTAATACTTCGTTGTCTATCATCATTTGTTTCTTTGTGATGAGAACACGTACAGTTTACGTGCCTATGGAATGTTCCAACGTAAAATACATGTACTTGCCCATGCATACAATGCCCGTGTGTGTGGTAAGAACATGTACACATATGGTACTGCCACCGTATGGGCAATTGCATTACATATTGTTGTCATGACGTATATAAATAAGGCAGCACAACCCATGTACACAAGTATATTGAGTGGAGTATTTCTTGCCCTTTGTCATTCGTGTTTCACAAAAGCTACTTTTGGTTTTATTCACAGCCTTTTTTTGATTTCCTAAAGATCGTGGGTGCGATGTCTGACAGGTCGTACATGTTAGGAAGAAAGCACTATGGCTAGAAATGCACACTGCACAGTTTGGAGCTTGCTGTCAGTCTGACTGTTTGACCGAATTGCTCTAAATTTCACTTTGCTTGGATAGTTATCTTTACATGTATATGTGTTGCCACAGCTTGCAGCAACTCACCTGGTTGGCATGATTTCTAAAACACCCGAAAAATGGACTGAATTTTTTGAATTCGACCCAAGACAAGCATTGATGCACTAGTGGTGTGTGATGATGTCATCTCAAATGTATGTCACAGATATGCAAATTTTCTATACCTCCTAGCGGAGGGGACGTGTTGCCCATTTTTATTATTTATTAATCAAAATAACCATTTTACCTTGTGGATATTGATCAAAACATAATTCTAACCAATAAAAACCTCTTATCGCAGGCCCTTTAATGTTTCCATTTGTTTCTGTATCTAGCGATGACCAACTGTTTATCAAAGAGATCACAAGAGGAGTGTTGGAAGGTAACAATGTCGGTTGGCTCAACTGGTCTCGCCTCAAGAAGTTAATGCAGAGTGAGAATATGAGGGCTCAGGTCATAAGTCAGCTATCCCCACAAGAGAACACAAAAGTGCTTGATGACTACATTGATGATACGGTCAGAACTGTATTTGAAATTTAACCTTTTGATACCCTACCTGTGACTTTTAAAATGCATACATTTTCACATTAAGCTTTCCATATTTTTCTGTGTTTCAAGCTTAGTGGTTCATGTGGTGATGTACATGTATGTTATGTGTGTTTTGTCCATGTCCATTTCATATCAAGCCACTGCAATGGGAATTTTGTATGTATTTTTACAACTGTTATCACCACTTTTGCTTTAACAAAGTTGGGTTTGTTTTCCTTTGTGGAAAAGCTCATCAAAATGGCAGTGCCCTGGTTGGTCCAACATAGGGGAACAAATAGCACTAACAATGCAACTAGTGTTTCATGATGCCAGTTGGGGTGAATTAGTGGATATATTTTGAACTGAAAGCATTCTTGAGGCGTGGTTCTCATCGCTGGCTCTAGGGGGCCAGGGCACCATATCCCCCCCCAAGAAAGTGTTATATTTTCATTTTTCCATCTCAAAGCATGTGAAACATCCCAAATTTTAACCTTTGCCACAGAAAGGCCATGAAATATGGCTTAAAGAAATTGCTTCATTTTCATGTTTTTCCCTCCAAAAAAAATATCTAACCATCCATCTTCCACTTAAATCAGTTTAGGTCCACCCTTGGTGCTTCTACTGAATCATATTTGTACTCTATAAACTAAGTTGCATAACTGTTATTAGTTTCACTCGTCATCCTGAATGTAATTTTAGAGTAAATTTTAATTTTTTTTCCAACAGCAAGTGAGCAAAGCTGTATACAAGGGGATAGTATCTGTCCTGAAGGCTGTGATTGCTGGACTGGAATACTCTTTCTATAACCAGCCATTAGGAGGTTTTGCCAGTGCATTTGCTCTTCTTGAGATTGCTCACACACACTACTTTGGCAAGGAACCAGACAAAGGCAAGGATAGCAAGAAAGCTCATTTGCATGGTGATGGGATTAGATGTGAGAGTACATATGCAATGGAGGGGTCAAAGGTTATCACACCAGATGAACATCATGGTGGCAGCATGGGTGCCATTCCTGAAACACATAGTCTCAGTGAGGATAATTTTATTGCTGCAATAGGTGAGCTGATTTCAGTATTTACAAAAGAATTATCTCCTCAAATACAGTGACCAATTTAACTGAAGTTGTAAGCATTATAATACCTTTGACACATTACCAAGTATAAATAGTTTTCAGGAGTGAAACATGGTGCTGAAAGTTTCTACCTTGTTCATGCAAATTGCACAAGTCATTGTTTTGTTTAAATACGGTCTTTGTAAAGCATTTCAAAACATCTTCCACAGCATTTAATCACTCCAAAATACTTTGCACTTCTTTTGTTTTCACTTGTGTTGGCAAGCTTTATGAGAATTCAAGTTAAACTATTGCACATTGCAGAAATAGTGATACAAAGATCAGCACACTCACTCTTTATCATTTATGTTTCTTTCTCACCTTTAAAAGTGCATTGATATATGTCTCACCTGAAGAAGTTACTAATCAAAATGAATGATCAAACAATTACATGACAATAATTTGGGTGTGTAAGAGTGAGCCAACTATCAAGTTTACTCTGTTCCTTATGCGGATATTTCAGATACACATATCAACACCACTTAATAGCCTTCAGGCTTTAACATGCAGGCTGATGTTGTCATCAGTTTATGTCGTGGATCAGGGTGTGTAGTGACTTACATGTACATGTAATCGTTCTTCATCTGAGTGATTTGTAGGAGTGCTCAGAAGATTTTGGCACACTTTTATCAGGGCATTAATGCACATGTAGCTTCAGTCCACTGCAAGATTGCCTGAACCACTATATTCTCCCTATGCTAGAAAGCTTCACTTCTTGTTTCCACCTACACGGAAGGAAATTTTAACTTTTAATTTAAAATGCATGTCTTGTTTGCTGTTAACTTAATAATTAAATCATTCTGTTAGTTTCTCAGCTTATTCTAGAAATCAAGTTAAAGACCGAAATCAGCAAAGCGTTTATGTGGGAACCGAGATTGCTGTTAAAACTAGTCAAAGTGAATGAATGTGCTATTTACCATACGTTTGAATGACCTGACACCAGCAATACACTATATACACACATATGTACCGTACGTTGTTTCTGCTTTTCAAAATTCTTTTGGAACTTTTTGGAATGCAAATGATTAATACGCTATATGTCTTGTTTTTTTCTTGCTTATTTCCATCATTGCCTGTACATGCTGGCCTTTAATTGCATGGGAAAGAGAGTAAGCTTCTCAGCCTGTTTTGCCTGTAATCCTCAATATGGTGTTGTGTCTGTTATTTTATACATTATGTGGATGTCGACAATGTTCAACGGATACCAATTTATGTTTCACTTTCCCTCTAAAGAAAAGAATGAACGAACTAAGAAATCAAACACATCAAACGCATCAAAATGAGCGGTGATTAAATTATCCCTTATATCCATACAATGTTATGATGATTGCATACTGTATGATGCATGCATTATTCAGCTTTGCATTTCAACCATCAGTTTGTATTTAAAGTTAGCAAAAGTTTAAACTAAACCGAGGAGGCCTACTGGTGAATGGAGAATTACTTGCTATTTAAAGTTGAAACTTCATGATCAATATGTTCAAGCAGAGATCATGGTCAGAATTTGTGTCTTAAACAAGATCATCAATGTTGCCCAGAGTACATGTATCTGTATGTCAAACATATACATGTACAAACATCCATGTGGCAAGTAGGAGATGAAAGATGCAATGCTGCAACTGATCAGAGTTACTCGTAGCACACCATGAAATACATAGAATAGCCAATGCCAGCCATGATACAAATGTGCAGAAGCACGTCTATCATTTTCTTTCTAGATTTGCAGGCATGTATGGTACGTTTTCCTTGGATTAGCTGATTTCCTCGATTTCACTTCACACTTACACCATTCAAAATGGAAAACACTGTACAAGGTCTTGTTAAGATCAGAATTCCCTCATTTTCAAAAAGCACCTCTAAGGAAAACATGTTTTCTCTGATTTTATCTGTTCAAGAAAATATGGAAGTATCAAAATCGAACGCAGTGTCATTTGCCTTCAGAGCTCAACCGTATTGAGCTAAACACGTTTTTTTTTGTTCATGCCAAGATGCAAATTCTGAATGTAGAATGTGTCATGCGGAGAAAACAGAGAAAATGAGGGGACCCTTGCCCTGTGTTCGTAGTAGAAAAAAACCCTTGTGCATGCCAAACATTGCATGTCGCAATACACACAGCAATTCACCAAAGAACACACTCCACTCTGCTGTCACTTGTACTGTAGTTTTAGGGTCATACATTCATCTTTCTTATATTTTGTTTCAACAATTTATTGGGGACCAAAAACATTTTACAGGACAGAAATGTCCCCACAACTGGGTCCTAATTTGTTCAACAAAAGAAATTTTCCTTAACACATTGAAGGCCTGCCCATAACACACACACTGCAGTCTCCATCAACACACTAATGAAAGTACCGGTACAGGGTATGCACAAATTACTTTGGCTTGTGGATTGTCAGTTTCTGCAAAAATACGAATCAGAACTTTTAGGAATATGATAAGGTTGGCAATTTTTGGATTAAAAAAAATCAGATTTTTATTTCAAGTCATATTTGTAAAATTTAAATCAGATTTTTTAAAATAAAAAATCGGAGACTAGTCGGTTTAATTATCTATTTCAAAGCTCATAGCTGTATGCATGTTAGTTTTTGTGTACTTATTTCTTTTGATACAGAATAAAACATATTTGGATTTAATTGAAGAAATTTAATCTAGTTATTTTGATTAAAATCACAAACCACATTGAATATTGTCTAAGTCTAGGTGCTTGCAGTAAACATACGAAGTATCTAATGCACCTACAGAGAAGACAGTTGATCAAGAGCTACAGGTACCAAGGGTAAAGTACCCGATTTTAAAGCAACTTTAAGATTTAGCACACCTAGAGTTCACTGGAATTTGTTGACAAGCACCCAAATCTTATAACAAGTAAGTGAAAAAATGCCATCGAGCATATATACACATGTATTTATTTTACATGCTATTTTTATTTATCACATGAGCACGAGTAGAACACAGAATAATGTAGTGCATGTGTGCCCTGTATACCACGATGCTGAAGGCTGAGTGGTACATGGGACACAGAACACAAACGTACTATTACTTGACGCACAGTAAAGATGTTATAAAGGCCAATGTGCGCAAATGCGTCACCTTTGAATTTACTGTAAATTTTGCAGTTGTGTATTACTTTTAGCGTAAATGGCGCATTGCTTGGAGTTAGAACAGCGCATCATGAGGGGTTTGACATGGACCATGTAATATGGTTATGTCACACTGTTTGTTGCCATGGATCGACCAATCACAATTGAGAATTCAAGTTTGCTTGAAGATAAATTCACCCCAACAATCCCTAACCAGTCAAACTTCAATACCAGTAAGGTCTTTGAATTTGTGGAATTAGGCACTGGGAACTTGCTATATATAGTGTTACCAAAAGGTAGGATCTTGGTTCAGATGTTCTCTAGCAAATGCCAGATGAGCCTCCTTATGTTTCTTCCTGAGTTGTGGTGTCTTCCTGGGCCTGTGTCCGTGGAGACCTCCTTTGTGCAATACTTGCTGGATGGTTGTCGGTGACACCTTCGTCCCTGCCTTGTCAAGGGCCTTGGTTGTGATCCATGGCGAGTCTAGGAGATACTTTGCACTTCCTGCCATGTCCATTGAGGTTTTTCACTGTGTTGAACCTCTTATGCTTCCTGATGATACTCCGAACTGTTGCAACAGGGACCTTGTATTGCTTGGAAAATGCCTTGTAGCCTTTGCCTTCTTTGTGGGCATTCACGATACACTGGCGTATATCCTCATTGAGTTCCTTCTTTTTGGTCATGGTGACGAGTAACTGAAAAAGATCTGAAAACTTTTCTTCTTTTTATACTCTTTGGGGGAGATGGCATTTCATCAGAATCTTGAACACCAAGTCACTAAAAGAAGGTATTAATTCTATCAGAGGTTCTTGAAATAGCTTCATGCCAAAGATTCTTGCAGTCGTAGAAAGTGAAAATAAGCAGTATGAATGAAAGGACTTTTTTCTTGTGATTTTGTCTGGGGTATGAATAATTTTGACAAAGAGCAAAATAAGACACCCGGGCCTTATCGATTATTATACAAATGAAATTCAGCCAACACAAGTGGGTTTGTGTATTGCAACAAATAGACAAAAAATATAGTGGAAGTGCCAACATAACTTTTACAAATAAAGAATTTAAAAAAGTATGTTATATTCCAAAGGTATTAATAATTGAACTGTAGTTCATCTTCTTGCTGTGCTAGCTGTAGGTTCAAAGTCACTCCCATTTCTCTTTCACATCAAGTAGTTTTTATTTGAAAAGTGTTATATATGAAGGCTTTCAGGTTGGTTTTGGCTTCACTTTTGCAAAGAAAGAAAGAAAATTATTTTCGTCTTCTTTCCCCATGCCAGTGCTCTCTTTCTGTCCCTCAGTGTTTCTTTAGTTTTTTGTCTTCTGGTGATAGGATGGCCCTCTAGGGGTGCTGGACACCTGTTCCATCTTACCACACACTGGTTCAACTACGTCAGTCAGGATTGTTCTCTTGTATCTTCTATTGTGCTGTTTTGTATTTCTGCAATTTTATGGATATTTAATATTTCATAATGTATATTTTGTATCTGTTATATATGTTGTTGGCCAGTAGAAAGCATAATAAAATGAAATGAAAAAATGAAATAATACTCACCTTATCAAAAACATGTTTTAACAGGTTTTGGTTCACTGCATAATGACCAACATTGCTTTTCCTATAAATACATGTACAAGAGAATCTGTAGATATATGATAAAATTTTAGAAATGGACACTTTTAAATAAATAAAGTGACATTACATGTAAGCAATGAAATACAAATCCTTTACATGTAATTCATGCACTGAATCCAGAAAACTGGTATAAATCAAAATAAGTGGCTTGAATTGAACAAAAATCTGCCGACCCAGATTGTGTGTAACACGTGCATTCATATTTCTTATCAATACTGAGAACTGAAGGGCTCACAGAGAGGGATCCAGGTATCTATTTAAAATGTGCAAAACCTTGAAAAGTGACAAATCAGTTGAAATAAAAATCTACTTTTTTTAACCTTTTTCTCCAAAACTTAAAACGTAGATTGAAATCAGTGTTTTTTTATATCATTTGATTCATTTAAATCACTAATTTAAATCCAGGTAGTGAAAGTCAGTCAACCCTGGAGCAAATGATTGTGCTGAAGAGGGTGTTATATACATGTCCCTAAGTCTCTTCCTTTGTACATGTACCTGTACCTTAGAAAGGGAAGGAATCACTGTAGATACTGCAGAGTTAGTGCAATCCTAAGAATTAGTCATATAGTCAATATATATATGCTTCCAAGAGTTGCAAGGCATTTGCTAATCGCAGTGTATGAAATCTGTCAACCCAGTATGCATTTGGAAAGGGTTGACAGATTTCAAGTGTTGTGATTGGCCAATGCGTTGCAAATTCTTGGAGATGCACTTATGCGAATCGCCCGTATTGCTTAGAACCATAATGCCTGTGCATTGTGATGAACTCATGTTTGTCCCGATGAAGATTTCTCATATGAAGGCTGCATTTTGGATTTTTCTACTGGTAGTGGTTTCTTACAACTGAGCATAATTGTAGGTAATCATGCACATGTACATTATAAATTGACTGAATATCTGACAACAGTTACAGATACATGTATATATGTACACATCTCCTTTGATAAGATGTCTATCGGTGCAGTCTGCACACACTTGTTATTGAATCATACACACATGCATTTTCACCTACACAAAGTGTGTACACCCACAATTTCCCATTGTCTTTCTATCAGTAGCTTTATTTGGTTAGACTTCAGTGTTCTGCCAAACCAAGGACTTTCTTAATTCTTTCATTAGTGCCCTCTTGTATGCAACATTCTCAGTTTTAAGAGCGGATCTTGTCCACAAGATGTAACTTTGAAAAAGAAGTTAAGATCTATGTTTATTGTACGTAGACCTTGGTTATGTCTTCATATTTCCTGACCCATGATGAGTGAATGATTGCTTTGTTAGATATGTGTACATGTGTATTTGTGCTAAATGTGGTTCACTGTGTACATGTCATTTAAATCTTCCTTTATCTGATTTGTGATCCTTTTGATGCATGCACATTATTCTGACAGCCTGACATGTACATGTAGTGGCACTTACATGTATGTTCCCTTTCTGCGCATCAGCAGATAGTGAAATCAGTAGATGACATGATGATAGTTATGTTCATGTACATTATAACAGTATTCCACGTGTATGCAAACATTTGGCACATCTGCAGCCCTTTCTCCCATTTGACATGTAATCTCTGTTCTTTCTATATCTGATGTGACATGTCCATTGTGGTACATGTGTAAAATGCATGTAGCCTTTCAAGGAAATGTAGAGAACAGTTATCCCTTTGTTAGGACATGTACATTTATGTATACACATACAAGTACCATGTTGTGTTGAGCCTGTGCACTGTATGTCACCACAATACAGAATGACAGCGTGAATGATATAAAACAGCTGCAGAAAGTCAACAGGCTGATGCAATTAATGAATCGGTAAATTACCTTCTCTAAGTAAACTTGCTCTCTATTTAAATGGAGAGTAATTGGTTATAATGTTAAATTTTTTTCTCCAAGACACATGACTGGTGCATGTATGTCCCTTTTTTCAGATATTTTCCTTATCCACTGTGGTTTTGTAATATGTGGATATATGCTTGCTGTGAACGGTAGAACTTTTGTTATGTGTACAGTTGAAACACAAGCCTGCCCAGGTATTGAATTTTTGGGGTGCATGACAAAAATAGCAAAAATGGTGTAAACAGAACATTGCAATGGCGGACACAGTCTGTGTGTGAGGTGTTATAATAAAATTGTGAACGCTGTATAGATCTCATTCAGCAAAACCAGAGAGCAGATTCCAACCTGGCAGAGGTATCCATTTAACCAAAAGAATCTAATGTGCAAGTACCTCTGTGTCAATTTGCAATTAATTGAGAAGCCACTTGTGAAAATTTTGACTTTTCCCCCTCGATAAAATTGTACCCTCAAAGTATGTTTTTGCATCCCAAAAATGCAAACAACTCATTAATTTTGTGGCCATGTACGCACATGTTTATATGGAACTACGGTTGCCTAGGGTGTAGAAATTTCTTTTGAATGTAAAAAAGTACTTTGATTTCAGGAGGCAGGCAAGTTTGAGGTTTTTGTTTGTTGGTGATTTGGGATGTGTGTTTGTGTTTTATATTTTTTGTTTGATTATTCAAAATGTAAAAAATGCTGTGTATCTGGATTCAAATTATGGCCCATCAAGAGACAGGATCTGTATATGAGGTACTGGAAAAGAATATCATGCACACGTGTGTGGATTCATCCACAATGCCTTTTGTTACAGTCATATAGCTTTTTCTATGGAGCCAGCAAATTACCCATCTCATGTACTGTTTGCAATATTAGTTCTGTGTTACAAACATTCCCATAGATCTTTTGATTTAATTCATTTCTCACTTTCTTCAAGGACTTTCTTTTTTTATCTCTTCATAGTCTCAACAAAGCATAAACAACTTTTACCGGATTATTCCTGAGTTATTGAGTCCTTTCATTAGGTGTTAGTAAGCCAGCTTAAGTTAACAGTCAGAAGTTGCTCTGTCAATGGTTGATACCTGTGCAATCAGTAACGAAAGTTGCTTTGTCAATGGTTGATACCGGTGCAATCAGTAGCAAAAGTTGCTCTGTCAATGGTTGATACCGGTGCAATCAGTCACAGAATTTGCTCTGTCAATGGTTGATACCGGTGCAATCAGTCACAGAATTTGCTCTGTCAATCGTTGATACCTGTGCAATCAGTAGCAGAAGTTGCTCTGTCAATGGTTGATACCGGTGCAATCAGTAGCAAAAGTTGCTCTGTCAATGGTTGATACCGGTGCAATCAGTCGCAGATACAGAGTTACTGATGCAGTCTTCAGTGGTATTCACCCATAGAAGATTGTCTTCATGTATCTTGTCCCAACTTACTGGACCTTCATCATACAACACTGTAACACTTGGCTGTCATTTTTGTTATTAATTTATTCATTCCTGGTGAACTCTCTAGTGTTCTGTAGTCTTAACTCCTTGTCTTGTTCTCCATTTTTCCCAATGACATTTTTGCCTGATAAGAGACAACTTCCCCATAATGTTAACCATATGCTGCCGGGTTTAATTTGAAGTTGCATGATGTACTGCCGGGGGATTTTCAAGATTTTTCAAAATTCTTCAAAAATTCATAACTTCATTTCTGGGCGTTTACACCCACTGAATGAGTGTCTGGTGGCTACTCTAACCTGACAGACAACATGTACATGTATTGACGCCTGAATATTTAAGCTAGGCCTGCTGCTTTGTAAAGAGAGTCCAGGTTGTGCGCTGTTGCATAATTTTCTTTTGTTCCCAAAAGTGGCAGACCAGATTAGCATAAAGTGGTATTGTATTGCTCATCAGTGGAGCGCTAGAGCACTTTTGTCCTTACTGGTTATCCGCTTGCACAGAATGCCACAAATAGTGGTATGATCATTCAAAACAATGACGAATTTCCCCTGGTACTGACAACTGATAAAATGTTGGCAATTCCTTGCAGCTGTGTCTTTTGTTCCGAGTTACAAGGTCAAACTCCTTTGTCCAATTTCAGGCACCCGGCTTTGCGTATAACGCCAACGTCTCCAGTTCAGGCACCCGGCACGAATTGATTAAGGACTGCATTAGTGTAGACTCATTACAGATCACCTTTAATTTTATGACATTACTGTCACTTTAAAAACTGAAATGTTTAAAAAAACAAGTAAAGTAAAAGTAAAAAAGAAAAACATTTCTCCTTTCTGCTCGCTTCCTTTTTGGAGGCCACCTGGATTTTTTTAATTATTTTTTATTTTTCAAAAATGCAGTAAAAAATACAGAAAAAGGACACAAATTCATCGGAAAATAGATACTTGCAAAATGAGTGAGTTGAAGTTTTCAGCAAAGACTCTGTCGGTCACTTTGTACACCACATACATGTAAATTGACACACAAATGCAAAACACGTCTTCGTGAGAGTCCAGAGCAATTACAGGCAAGTTCACCAGAATCTGTCTGCACATGCTGTTTGTACATGACCTTTGTAGCCAGAATGTGACGGGTATAGGACTTGCAGGCATTTTGAAATAAACGGGTTAGCCTTGGTTTTCAGTTTTGCTGGTTTCAGTCAGAGCCTCGCATGCAGTTTGGAATGCTGCATCAAATGGCTGGAATCAGCAAAGTCAACAACTAAGCCTAATCGACTCGTTTCAAAAATGCCCTGAGCTCATGCTCAAGCACATTTAAAGAATTCGCTCGTGTGGCTGTAGTCTGGTTCCTGATCTCACTTTCATCAATGCATTTGGACTTAGAGAATTGCAGAGGAGGGGGCGGGAAATAGTCTAGTGCGGCTGATGTTTTGTGTCACTCATGCATGCATGCAATGCTCATAAGCCTGAATCTTGTTTTGATTGGTTTCATTAAAGTGCAAGTCAACAACCTTTTGTCAAACGGTGATGGATACATTGTATGTCACGAGTCCAAAAAGTAAAGTTTTGTAGTAGAAAAAAATAGACTTGCAAAAGATATATGACAAAATGTAAAGAAAAAACATTGCCTCAAATATTTTTAATCAATCTTTATATGTTTATGGAAAAACAAAAACATTTTTGTTTATAGCTTGGCGTGTACACTTGTAGGTTTTGAGAATTGACATTTCGTGCTTGATTTTATCTGTAAAATTACTCATCAAAAATAAATCTTGACTTTTGGCGGTTAAAGCAAATGCATCTAAAAACTGTTCATTGTAGACCAGTACAACACTAAATGACACTGTAAATATGTTCAGTGTCCTTCATTTTAACATGTCTTAGAACAGTGGAAACACTAATGGTTGCAGGAAATTTTAAAATGGTGGCCATCTTGAAAAAAGTTTTAAAAAAAGTCCTGCTCCCTCCTTTTTTTTTCAAAAATCCATACATACAAACAAGTATAAATCCATTTGATAATAAAAGTAGAGATAATGCATCATGTTATGGTAGCAGAACACAAGCATTTGACTAGTGCCATTAACCCTAACGCTCCCAAATCCTCCAATTTCAATACGATTTTACATACACCCTAAGGGGTTAGGGTAAATGTAAACATGATGCCTGATACTGTACTGATATCTTTAAAGATCTTTGTTCTGTTAAGCAGTAGTTCAAAGAATGACACAATTAACAAGTGAAACATTTTCTTTTATACATTGTGTAGGTTGGGAGAAAAGGGGGTCTTTGGTGAGTAGCAGTAGTACTAGCACAGAAGAAGGTGCCATCAGGGGTAAGTAGATCACGCACCTCTTGCAAAACATTAGTCAAGCACTTATTTTGAAAAGGAGATTTACAATTTTTATGGAACCAAGCAGGGCTAGCATGCAAGCTTTTCAGTACATACATATGCCTGTCTTTTCTGTGAGTAGGAAACAATCACTCAAAAACAAAATATGAGTCAAGTGGGAGTAGGTTAATATATTGACAAAGCACATTATTCACAAGAACCATCACGTTGTGCCTTTTCATACACGTTTTAAGGAAACCAAGGATCATTGGTAAAACAGCATGCAACCCCCCAAAAAAATCTCGGCAGTATGTTTTATACCGCTAAAATGTGACATCTGGTAATTGTGATTTTAAGTTTGCAGTCTTATTATATCCAAGATTGTGATAAAGCATGAGACAAATTTTACAGTTTTGATCTCCATTTGATGAAGCTTTTCATGGCTCTTCCAATTTGGTTCAGGAAAAGCCATGGAAATTTATTGTTCTGAAGGTGTAGGACCCTTCTGACTATTTAACCTCAATTTGGCATGTACTACACATGATTACCCTGAGTACTTCAATTTGGATGTGTTTCAAGCAGTATGCACCAACTCCATAGACATTTGTCTCATTGAATAATGAGTTTTGCACTTACTGTATCCACAGTGAATTCTCCTATGATGGAAGATAACCGAAATGACAGTGCCTATGAGTTAATTGACATGTCAGAAGTAGGTGTTGGTGGAAGCACAGGTGCAGGGGTGCACGGAGCTGTTGGGATTGCAGCAGAAGTTGCAGTTACAGGTAACAGTCATACGGTATTGCGGAATGTACACTGTAAGAAGCCTTTTCTAGTTTTCCTTTCCATATATCTGTGTCTATCATTTGGCCGGTAATTGAGGTGACAAACAGATTAGAATTCTTACACGTCTGTTTTATTTGTTTTGTTGTTGTAAAGTGTAATGTACATGTGCTGTGATTTTGGTGTGCACTGCAACCTCACGGAACTTACAGCAATAGAGAAACTTGACACAACCCATTTTATTGGTCAATATGCACAAGAGGTAATGACACAATTCAAAAAGTTACAGTCTAAGTTTGCAACTTACATGTATACTTCACAAAAATGAATGCTACACATCGCTGCAATTGTAAAAATAATTTCACGAGGTGACAGTCGAATGGAATGGATAAATTTATTTCACTGAATTAAACTGTTCCATCTGCTGCACAAATGTGAAACGTTTATTATTTGTTTTATACAGTGCCTAAATCATCTCCACCTGATTAAATATTTGCATTATCTACAAGTTAAAAAATGGATCATGTGATCATGTATTTGATTATTTCAGTTTTATACCATGTACCATAGATTCAAATTTTTGTTTTGTAGTATGGCTATGCACCATCCATCAGGAGAAATAATTCATTGTCATCCTCTGTCATTGGCCCAGAATGATCACATGACAGGGCGATATAATAAAGGGGATGGGCCGTGCTGGGAAGATTTCATGTAAAACATGCATCAACACATAAAGCAAACATACATATAACAAGAAAATACATCTGCATAATTTCAAAATGCGCTGAAATATGTTAAAAATTATAGTTTTCAAAACCCTATTTTACTCCTTTCTCAGAGCAAAAGCTAAACAACAGCCGTCTGGTACCAATGTAATTCTGATTATTTAAAAGTGTTGTTAAAAATGGGATGGGACTGGGTTTATATCGGTTGGTGCGACATTGCACAGTAGAGAATTTTTTGAAATTTCTTAAGTTATTTTCTCGGGTAGGAGGAAGCCAATTCTGAAAGGACCTAGACCGTAGAAGATTTTTTCCAAAGCTAAGTGTTAGTTGCTCAAGCATTTTAGATATGGTACATGTAGGAATGTTCAGTGTCGCACAGGCTTCATTGTGTGATTTGTTGTTCCACTAGATGTCAGCTGAAATGATACGGACAGCTTTCTTTTGTAACTTTTTAGGCACTCTCCCTGTGTCTTTGTAAGGCCACAGAACCATACAGGTATAGCATATTCTAAGGCAGGGTGAACATACCGTAAATTCACTGACAAAAGATCCAATGAAGTAACATGCCACCGTCTTAATAACTGTCTCAGAATAAAAAGTTTCCAACTGCTTGATGACCTGTAAATCCCATTTCATATCCTGTAAATAAATCTCTAACAGTTTTAAACTCTCTGCATGATTTGATAACAGAATTACCAATATGAAAAGCAGGTATAGCAGTTGGTGTTCTTCAAAAACAAGAACCAAAGCCTGACATTTGCATGGATTAAGGGTCATGTTATTGGCAGTTGACTAATCAGCGAGGTGATCAAGTTGTTGCACTGCATAGGTTTGATCAGTGTCTAAGAAAGGTTGACACAGAGTCAAACCGCATATCACCCTCACTTTGAGACTCCTCGTTCTACTGATAGTACGTGCAAGTACATGAGACAGAAGAACTTTGGGAAGCCTGCTAACCAGACTACATGATGTGAACTTGTACCCACTGCTACCCGCACTACTAGTACTTTCACATAAAAGTTTAGGTATTTACAGGAAGTGAGGGAACAGTGCAGTTGCAAACGATATCATGTATGTCTGTTATGTTATTTATACAGGCCTATCGTCTTCTGAACTTCTGAAATTCAGATCACGTTTCTTTGGATAAATTTCTTAAGACAGAGGTATGACACAATTGTTGACAGCTCTGATGTTGGATATGACGTTTTAACACCCTTGGGCATGCATAGCTCCCTCGGCTTTGCCTCATAGTGCTATGCGTTTCTCGGGTATTCAAAACCTCATATTCTACATCACAGCAATCAACAATTGTTAAGTGATACATAATTGACAATGCACCAGTCAGATTATGGAGATTGGTTCAGGTTTACTATGGAACAAGAATGGCATTACTACATGTAGTTATTATTTAGGGGTAAGTGTTAGGTTGTAGTGAATAAATTGGAAATGGACATTTATAGTAGCTACAGCTTAATTGTGTTTGATGGAGAGCTCTTCATTGTTGAACTTACCAAGGTTTATATGAAGAGTGCACTGCTGTGTTTTTAAGGTAATAAAACCTTGTTCACCTATGAAGGAAGTTCAGTATTTTCTGCCAGTTCAATTTACAAAAAGAAGATCGAAGGTGTAAAAAGAAGATTTTTCAAGATGGTGGGTGCAGAGCTATGAGTGTTATTAGAAGTTGTCATTGTAAAAGCAGTAATGGTCCTCATCCTGAAATGTTTTAAAGTATTTTAAATTTTGCACAGCTACGCGTATGGAACTTTTGTGAAATGATCAGATTTTTGTGAAATCAATTGCCAAATTTTATTTAGATATTTTTATTTATAAATAAATGGAAACCAGCAAAGTAAAGTATGGGCCAGTGCAATAAAATGCTGTTCACAGCTGGCTCCTGTACCTCAAATTAAGATACAAATTACCTCAGATATTATGATTCAGTGTCATGTACAGTCAACTCTTGGTAATACGAGTTCAGGCAAGATGAGATGAGACCCCAGTTTAGACAAGCATATTTTGCCAGTCCGGACTGAATTATGCACATTCCTACGTGGAAAAATAATGCATAATATGAGCTGGGGTGTTACAAGATTTCGGTTAAGATGAGCATTTTTTGCCCACTGGCTGAGTGTAAATATATTGTTATCTATTTAGCACAGGCCTTTTTGAAGGCAACTTGTCAATTAGCTAGTCCATTCAATTTTGGCAGGTGCTGAATCAAGCCAGCCCCCATCAAAAAATTGTTACCCGCTCCCCACTGTACATGAAAATATTGCCCCATCTGGTTTGAAATTTCAGTTAATTCTCAAGTAAAGAAATCATGACTAAACCGTGGTTTTCAGTCCAAAAATGTTGAAGACAATAACATCCACCATGTCCACAAGCTTTGAAGAAAAAGTGCATCCCTCGCTAATAATTTTTCACCAACCCACAAGCCTTTCCAAAGTAAAATGTGTATTCACCTTCTCCTGTCCACACCACCAGTAACTGGTTTCCTCCCATTGTTATGTGCAACAAGCAAAGCTCTGGTGTTAGTTACCAATCATAATGTTAATTTACTTACATGACATGGGTGCATGTGGATCTCATCGCGGCGACGGGGACGTGTGATACAGCATCGCTCTGGGCCTACTCAACACGACTGGTGGAAAGTCCGCAGCCTCCATTCTTACATTATATAATTAGTCTTTATTAAAAGTCTTTATTCATTAAACTGTACATATACATCTTACTTTTATAAACAAACTTTAAAAACTCAATTCATATAAAAAACATACTTGCATTTAAACAAAAAGTTATGCAGAGGCCCTACTTTTATACATGTTCGCTTTACCAACGGTTGATTGGTGATACATATGTCGAGCAGGACAGCAGCTTTCACATAAGATGAGTTCCAGATAATTCAAGTTAATTTAGTAAGTCCCAAGCACTTGGCCCTCGTATTAACGGGAGTCAACTGTATTCACAACCATTTGGAATGAACTACGCCAGTTTTGTTTCTTTTTTACAGGAAAGCAAGAAGAATTATCAGAAATTGTCAAGATTTTATGGTTTCAACAAATTCACTCTCCAGCAGTGTTACTTTGCATTTTTATTTTTATTTTATATTTGATGCTGTCTCAATATATTTAGACAAATGATCTGTCGATAGGTAATGGTCTCAAAACTGATGTAACATTATGTTAAGATATTTTTTTCATCCTGTTCTCTAGGTGCAATAGGTTCCAAAGTAGATGTTGAGTATCCAGGACAAGATGATGATCACAGAACAGTCCAGTCAAGAGATGAACCTATCAAAGATATATCTATCAAAGATATAACTAACAATAACAGCGACTGCACAGATGAAGGTATCACATTCCGAGTGAGGAAAAATGATGCAGAAATCATTCCAGACAACAGCAAAACCATGGAACCTAGGGAGATCGGTGTGCGAAGAGAGAAATTCTCTGAGAAAATTTCAAGTTTGGATTCCGAGATATCCGAAGCCAGTACTTTAGTTAGCTACAACAGCACTGACACTCTTGGGAATGAAAGTGACAGTAGTTCCACTTGTGGTGAGGGTCGCTTACGTCGCACTCGCATTACGCATCAGTCAATACGCTCTGTAATGTCGGATAGTGAAGTGGAACTCAATGGGGTGAGTATATAGAAGCCACCCTGATAATATACAAATTTGGTAGGTACATGTATTTCTCATACTCCTGTACTTAATGATGTACATAAACAGATGTTTCAAAAAGGTAGTCCCAATTGAAAGGGTATCATACAAAATCTTATTTTTTCAAATTGTATACATTATTCTACATGTAAAGCCAACAAAAGCATGGTGTCATTATAAAGCAGAGGTAAGTGTTTTTCAGTGATACTGATATCACTGAGCATTACCGTCTTGAAATGTGACTCACCATTTTAACACTAAATAAAAAGATGACATATTCACGATCTTACCATAAATCAAGTCCCTAAATATCCAAATATAATGGTCAAGGTACATGTACATGTAAATCCTCTCTTATAGCCATGTATACCAGCCTTCAGTGATATATTCTTTCTATTGTAGGCAACAACCCGCTAAGTCATGTGACCTATACTAAGTATTAAATACCAACAAACACTGCATCTGCCAAAAGTAAAATGTTTCATGAGTATCATTTACGAAAAATAAAGCTGACAAATGTACTGTACTTAGACTACTGATGTGCTGGGTATTATACCGTAACTTTGCTGCATTGTTTGTAAGCTACACTCAAAACACGTTGCTATGGGGTTGATAACCTTAGCAACGTGTCACTTGATTTAGTGGGTAGTCTCTTAACACTAAGTTGCAGTATGTGCCTATATCCGCCATCTTTGTTCTTAACATTCTCTATCTACTCCCTACACAGTGAGAATCCTGTTCACAAACAATGTTTGCATGTTGATTCTCGTCATTTGAAACCCCGTTCTCATCCAACATGAAAACAGGGTTTCGAATGTACCATTCATGTCAACCAAATTCTCACAATCTGACCAAGGACAACCAAGATGAAAAACACAAAAGTAAATAACGTGTAGACTCAGCGGGGTCTTCTTGGTCGTTGTTTGAGTGTGATGGGAACATGAAACACCCCTCTCCAAACATTTTGATATTCGTGGCGCATGTCATCCGTGATTCATCTTATACTTGCTTCCTTTTCTGATAGAATGCCTACTTCCTGTCATTAAAATTGTCTGTGGATTTTTTTAAATATTCTTTCAGCTGTCTTCATTCAGTGGAAGGCATCGTTCTCCTGCCGCTTGGAGTTCCAAAAGCTGTGTTAGTGCTGGCTTCCGTTATCATGGTGGAAGCATGATTGCAACAGATACAGATGCATCAGAGTTGATGCTACGACACTATGTGTTTGAGGCATTAATCGGTATGTACAGATTGACACACCGAATAAGAGCTTCAGATTTATCACACAGTAAACATTCTTTTTTATGTGGTGGCACATTTTTAGTTTTACCTCCAACCAAAGCAATTTGGTCAAATAGTCATAATTGAGATCAGCCACCTCATGATAATTAATAACTGTTACGACCAAATGAAGCATGTCATCCCCGCCACACAGCCTATTTTCTCTTAAATATAACAGGTATATTATTATATTATTTGTTTACCTTTACAAATAAACACTGATTCAGAATACTGACATTTTTCTTTTGTTTTCTGTCTTTCAATTAGCAAAGGACAGATCTCCCTTGTGGGACCAGGTTCAGTTTTGGGAAGATGCTTTTCTGGATGCTGTTGCAGCTGAGAGAGATGCTGTAGGCATGGACCAAGGACCAGCCGAAATGATTCACAGGTAGGTCTGTTATACATATCACTGTACCAAGTAGTTCTGTAGATATCTATTTGGTGTTAACATAAGTTTTCCATAGTTTATCATTCTGGTATTGTCAGTCTTGCAATTTATGCATCCATACTACACATGTAATTAGGTTAGATGATACTAATATGAGATATAATTTGCACCTATCAACTGAATGTCACACGTGTTTCAAATATTTTGACCAAATCAGAGACTAAGACACATTTACATGTATTCCCACAAAACCAATATATACAGTATTTATACCAGATACTTGTAGCTTGTGAATCTATGCCCCCCCCCAAAAGTCTCCAGTTTCTGGTCACCACACGCGTCGCCTTAGACCTGCATGTTGGCAAAATAAAGAATTTTTTATTTTGCATAAAACAATTTCCAAAAAGCCACTGAACTTACTTGATCGGCAGGAATTCTGCTACTGTGTAATTTTAACGTGTTTTTGATGGGTTGGACTTAAGTAATATGTACGGTGAAGGAATCCCTCTAGGCCTCCACACATTTCAGTCGGGCACTCTTTATCAGATGACGTCATTCGTGTATCTTTACACGAAGGCCATGTCCAAATCAGTTGGCTGTAGCTTGATATCATGCATGATTCTATGGGAACTGGCCATGGATGCTGCTAAGTACATGTACTCGGTGTAATTTCCGGCCATAGCCAATTGATTCAGACCAAGGCCCATGTCTGTGAACCAGACAAACAAAGTAGTCTAATGTCCTGCTTATTTATGTATACAAATTGAAAATGCTTTTAAGCAAGAAACACTGAGGGGCCAGTCCGTTTCAGTGTCGGTGAGGCAGTGGCGGCACATACGCATGCAGTGCATGCAGTGGCGAAAAGCCACATGCGAGTTAAATTTGAATAAAATCTGGTACACTGTGTTATCTTATTACATAGAAATGTAACAATTTGAATTCCCCCGACTAAAGACACTGTTGCCATACCTCGTGATTCGGGGCAAGCTTTTGCATAGCGACCACAATCTCTGGAATGGACTGGCTCCTTTGCGCAGTTCCTATCCACTGAGAACAGTGTATTGTTGCCAGGCATCTCTTATGCAACTAAGCAAAAGCTTACCCTGAATATAGCAACAGTGGTTTCAGTATGGAGAATTCAAGTTGTTATGTTCACATGAATTTAAAGAACTCAGTGTACCAGATTTTATTCAAATTTAACTTGCAAATGGCTTATTGACATTGCATTTTGCCAACCATACATGTAACAGCTCATGCATCGTCACAAAGATTAGAGTGAGAGGAGATTTTATCTCCTGAGCTGAATTTTTTCCCCAATGTTTTATATTCAACTTGTTTCCTATAAGCTAAAACAGAAAACAATGTGCACAGTATATTACTTACCTCATGAGAATTTTATTTTTATTTTTACTTAGGAGGTGAACTATTTTTTTTCATGCTGTTTTAGGACGTGCACTTTGTTTCCTCTAAGCTAAAGCAGAAAACAATGTGCAAAGAATGTCATATAATGCTGCCTCATGAGAATTTCATTTAAAATATGAAACTCGAGCTGAACATTTATTTTTCACATTAAATTTTTCCATGGTTGTGCTGCTGTATTTTAACAAGCTCAGTCTTGCCAAGAATACAAGGTTCTTGTTTGAGTGAGATAACCGAAACCATTGCCTCTCGTCATATTTTATGGTCTGTTTATTAGTTCAAAGTTGTTAATTCACATTTCTTGTAGTAACAAGGCCATGCGCTCTGATATATATGTGCATGTACATCACTTCTAAAGAAAAACAAGAAAAAAAAATGCGTCACCGCATCACTTTTGGACCAAGTCCACGACCAGAAACTGGAATCTTTTTTGGGAGGGCTATTTGACCTTGTTTTTTATGTGAATTTTTTATTTTACTGTTATGAATAATGCTCAAAGAATACATTTCAAACACTTGTTTGAATTTTAACCAATGAGCATCCAAATTTATCCTGACAGTATCCAGAACTGACTTAAAAATATAACTATGAGAAGATAAAGTAAACTTTTGATACCTTAAAAGTTGGTTGACTCAAAACTCCGCTTATTTCGGAGACATTCTTCATTCCTGCCAAAAGAATAGGCTTTTATGTACAAAAATACCTTCATAACTAGAAATACCCACACCACTACATCTCAAAGTTTTTGAAGAGCCGATCCAAAGGACCACCACCAAATCAAAGAAAATGAGTGGAAAAAGAATGCAAGACTTCAATTATGAGTCATTTCTGCAAAGCACTTTTTATCAAGATGTATTTTTGCGTTGGGGAGATGTTAATTATATATATAATGGGTTTGCCCTTACCCAACGTATCTTTATAAGCACTGTATGCTCAGTGCTTGTCCGAGAGCGTGCGAAAAAACCTCACAAGCTTACTCGGGTGGGACTCGAACCCACGACCTCCTGCTTACTAATGCAGATNCAAGATGTATTTTTTCGTTGGGAAGACACGTGGGCTTAGGTGTGAGGTCAAAATACAAACGCCTTTGAAAGCGTAATGCTAGGCCCCACTGACGGTCAACATCGAACAGACAAACGCTGCAGTGAGGCTGGCCAAACCGTTGCAATTGAGTACACTCTGTAGCTTCCAGTAAACAATGGACAGCTCATCGCATTACCGCATCATAGACTTCTGCGGTCTGGTGGATGAGTCATAACAACAGCTCTTTACTTTGCAGCTCTGCAGGAGGATGCAGATCGGCAGACTGTTTTAACTTCCTGATAAAACATGTGTATTGAGTAGTTGTGTTGCGCTGTCGGTTTCCAGACCAGTCTTTGCTCGATACCCTGCAATCTTGATATTTTGTCTCGGTATCGTGAGTCAAATGCACACCTAACTGTATACCTGCAGAATCGATTATGCTAACTCGAAATAGTATTTACCTGAATCGTACATGACGTAGTGTTCTGCTTGCTAACATGTAGCTATGGATAAAACCTCTTTTTTTGGCCCGTGTGCACAAGCTTGGACTCAGCATTGCGCACTCTCAGGTTTTCATGTGTAGGACTGAGGAAGACACATACGCGAACTACGCGCTTTTTACTTCGTGGCTGCATCTTCACGATTTAAGAATACATGTTTTTTCTGGAAGTCAATAGTACATGCATGCACATTGCAATGTTTTGTACGTACGATTCTTTTGTACTCTTTGTGTACGTTTTGGCTGCACAAAATTCATGTTGGAAAACAAATATGCTGGGTTTTATACTAATCTCTGGTGTTTGACTTTTATCTATTAAATTTTAATGCACAGTAAATTAAAACAATAAACACAATTTAATCTAGTGCTGCAAGCGAACCGCTGAACCGAGGCAAAAATCATCAAACAAGGCACTTTCAAACCGAACCAAACTGTTCGGTTCGGATGTATGGCTTTAATAAGGCATTTCATTGATGGTACGTGGAATACATACAAGAAAACTTATTAAAAAACAAACACAACGCAAAATGGATAACGAGTTGTACAGCGTGCTCCACACGTGTGAACATACTGAAACTTACAATGGCCGCATCATGAGATGGTTGTAAAAAGCATGTGGTGAGAATCACTCAGAAATCAACCAAGAACATGCAATGTACGGCATTGTCGCTGCATAACATTTATTAATTCTCACTACATCCAATCATGCTCATGTATATTCAGATTTATTATATTTGCCAATCTTTGATAGCCATGCCCAGACATTCCATATTAGGGTAATGATGTTCCATATTAGGCCAATCGTCTCATAAATGGCCATGCAAAACGAATTTTGATTGGATGCTAATCAAAGTTGGACTCGTGCTCTATCTAAGGCATCCCTGGATGAAAATTTTGCCAAGCGGTTCGGTGCATGCTGCACTTCAGCGCAGCGCGCAAGGAGATTTTTGTTCGCGCGGTGGCCTAACTTGCCTTTCATTTGACCATGAAGGGTTTGATCGTAGTGCGAATGCGTTGTAATGGAATTTTGCCAGATCTCAAATAACAAAATACCTGTTATCTTTCCAAAGAGGCTGATGGAAAATCGCCCCTTTGGTCACGTGCACGCAATCCTTGGAAAGGTTCCTCCTCGGATATGCAACAAAAGCCATTTTCGTAGTTGAATCTATTTCGCAAGAATAACGTAAAACACAATTTGCTCAAAATTTGTTTTTTAATCTTGTGTTCTGTACTGAAGAAGGAAAGTCCTATTTGAGCATGCTGTTTTTCTATTTACACATATCTTACTATCGTTTTGTTGAGTCAATCGTGGTCCGAACACAACTGCTTCTGGTCAGCAATACATGGTCAGAAACTGTCACACCTCCAGCGGTAATTTTATATGGAATGTTCTCGTAAACAAACTCTGGGGAAACAGTTTAGAAAAAAAAATGTATTCAAATCAAAGTTGCTCGTGGATGGAGAGAGATGGGAGATTCCTAATTTTATACACAGAAATACTATATAGGCCTATGCAGCACGATCGTAGCGAGCCTTTCAATGTCTCAGTGTGTATTGTACTTGTACATGTGTGTACATGTCCAAACCCCAACCGATCTGAAGTTCGGCAAAAAACTTCTGAGCGGCATCTGAATCGAACCAAACCTTGACACGTACTTGCAGCACTATTTGATGCGGAGTTTGACTTTTTTTTATTACCTTCAAAGAATATGGTACACTTGACTGAAGTTCAAAATAAATTCATATTGTGTCTATGTGGATATTTCCTTTCAGAGATGATAGATCTGGTGGTAAAATTAGGCAACTGTGTTTGGCATTTCCCGTCACTCCCGTATAAATGTATTTATTTTCCTGTCTAAAAAATGCTTAAAAGACGAACAGTGATCTTGTGGCGACGTCTTTTTGTCATGAAGTATCCATTCAAAACATTTCTGAGGCTAGAGAAATGTCTGTAGCCCAGAATGCAGTTGGTTTTGCATCTCTATCACAAGGTGTTAATCACTAATCCTTAAGGCCAGCCCAGGAAGGCTGACCGGGGCCAGTGAAGTTCTCCTTGAATAGAATCTATTGTTCACAACTACAGCTGTGTAAGCCACAAACTCCATTGTCAGGGTTACTGGTGAAGCTAGACAGTTCCAAACAGTTCAAACTGTTGAACTGTCCCACACCAAAAGACAATGGAATGAAGGGGGATTAACACCAACCGTTGAACTGTTTCTAAACCGTCTTTGTTTTGACCTCATACCTTACTGCCATTGTAATCGATGAGTCATGACCACCTGCCATAGCTTAACGAAATCCTGGCTTTCAAGCTAGCCTGATTGCTGCTCTAGCTCAAATTTAGCCCACATGCTTGCCATGTGTCTGCACCAGAGGAAGCGTGCTTGCCACATTATACACCTGGCTGCCACCTGCCCACCACCTGCCCACCACCTGCCCACCACCTGCCCACTTGCAGCACTGCTGCTGGAAATGCATTTTTTGCGTAGGCAAAGCTCACTTGCATTTTTTTCAAGGTGAAAAAGGAGAGGTAAAGGAAATAAAAAGACAGGCACACACATTAAACATTTTTGTTACATCAACGTTTTGAAAAGCAAAGTGTGCTCCCTCACACAATTAAAAAGGACTGATCATGTGACCAAACAGGAAAATTCTGAGCCCCCACCTCATAAGAAAACAAGGGCTGGGTGCGTCGCACTGTGTGCAAAACAAAATGAATGATGTAAAAGAATTGCTACAAAGGGGCACAGTTTTGGTGCTTATGTTTTATTTATTAGTAGAATAGAAAATTTACTTAAGAAAACATGAAATCTCAGCGATCTGATAATTTTTAGAATAGACTTATTCTTGGACATAAGGAAATAATTACTTATATCGTCTTCAATACCAACCATTGGGGCAAGTAGGGTTGCTTTAGCACTGTGCGAGCATGTGTGGGCAAGACTCAAAAACTTTTGTCAGTCCGAAATCCAGATAACTTGAATTTCTCATCCATTCCCCTGAGGATTGAGTTATCAAGAATTTACTTTAGATGTATGAGGGCCCCAAATAAGTCTTTTGTCTCTGGTCAGGGTGCACGTCAATTTCAAGCTTGTGCTTCAGTTTTTTTCTGTGAGAGCTGCAACAGTGCCCTCTATTGCAACACTGCCTCTACATTTTTGCGGGCAGCTTGATTTTACTCAGGGCAATAGATCTTGACAAGATGGATGTTGAACAATGATAGCAAACTATGGGTATGAAGTTGTTTGTTGTCAGCTTATGAACGTTTTCGAAACAAGTAGACTTTGGTTTCGCTGGTTCTAGCCAATTTGAAGCAGCATTTAAAACTACTACAGGAACCAGTGAAAGTGTAATCAAAGCCGAATCCACTTGATTCGAAAATTATCTGTAATCATAATAAAGCTGGTCTAGTCCCATGACTTTACAACGTGTGTCTGCAGTTGTCTGTACAATTCAGCCCTGGAGGAGACGTAAAACTGTGTCGCCGCATCAATTCCAGAATACGAGTCTGACTAGAGACAAACTATATTTTCTTTTTTGGCCTAAAGTGAGATATTTATACAGTTTCCTTGTTTATTGTAGATATGACTCTCTGACATCAAGTGAGAAGAAGAGACTTGAAGAAGATGAAGACAAACTTCTTGCT